AGAGCGCTTTCGAATAGTTGAAGAAGAATAGTCAACTATTCGAAAGCGCTCTAGTTTTGGGTCTTATTTTAAGTTTATTACACTTTATATGTGATCCTTTGTGCTAACTCTTTTACCAAGAGCACTTTAACTTAATAGTAGTTGTTGGGCTATTTATTGACTAACGCTTTAAGTAAGTGTCCCAGCCAGAGCAACAGTCTAATTGTAGAGTTATGGTATGACTGCTAAATTGCAGTACAGTTAGTGAGAAGTAATCCAACTGCTAACTCGCGATTTAACTAGTAAATAGTAAACTAGCTTTTCAGTCGTAGTTCTGCTATTGAGTAGTATCCTAAATACTGAGTTAGAGCTTAGATAGAGACGAGTGATCTACAAATTAAGTTTTAAATTAGCTACTGATGAACAGTCTAACAGCTGAATAAAGGTATAGCTAGGAATTAGTGGCCTAACTGAGAAGTTGAAATCCGCTCACTGAGTTGCGGCCCAACTAATGAGTAGAAATCCATGTAATGAATAACTGGCTAACCGATGAGCAGACATGCACACAGTGAGTAGCGGCCTATATGAGGAATAGAAATAATAAATAACTGACGAGCTGAAATCCATGTAGTGAATAACTGGCTAACCGATTAGCAGACATCCACGCAGTGAGTAGCGGCCTATATGAAGAATAGAAATAATAAATAACTGACTAACTGATGAGTTGAAATCCATGTAATGAATAACTGGCTAACCGATGAGCAGACATCCACGCAATGAGTAGCGGCCTATATGAGGAATAGAAATAATAAATAACTGACGAGCTGCAATCCATGTAGTGAATAACTGGCTAACCGATGAGCAGACATCCACGCAATGAGTAGCGGCCTATATGACGAATAGAAATAATAAATAACTGACTAACTGACGAGCTGCAATCCATGTAGTGAATAACTGGCTAACCGATGAGCAGACATCCACGCAGTGAGTAGCGGCCTATATGAGGAATAGAAATAATAAATAACTGACGAGCTGAAATCCATGTAGTGAATAACGTCCTGAGTGAGGAGCTGAAATCTACCCAGTGAAAAGTGACCAACTGAGTAATAAAATTCCATGTAGTGAATCAACAGTCTATCTGAGGAGTTGAAGTCCATGTAGTGAAGTGCAGCAAAAGTCCTAAGTAGCTGTCTAGCTAATTCGTATGATTGCCTAATTATTACATTACTTTCTAATTAGTTTAGTGTGATTGAACCGATTAGTTGTGGAACAGTTACAACTAGAATGGTCAAACTGCCTATATTCTGTCCAACTAGAGAACTGGAGCGTCGAACCGCTATGCTGGGATACATTTATTAAATAGTGACTTTACTGCTCACTTCAAGTCCAGCTGTTCAGTTTTGCTACGACTAATGAGTTGTGGTTCAACTTGTACTTCAGTAGCCTAAATGTTAAGTCGGGATTTGGTTATTGAGGAGTAACTATACTGCTGACTCTTTCGACAGCTAATAATTACTCAAGTCATATTCTTTGTATTAGGGAAAATCTGTGAATTCAACAGTGATTGAACTATATAAAAAACAACAAATAAGTCATCACTTTGAAAGGTGAACAGAGAAATTGCATGATTTTGATTGACAAAATGACATCTTTCCTGAAAAACTAAACGTGTTTTTTATTACTTATTTTGATTTGACAGCAGAGAGATTAGATGTCAGGTGTATTCAAATCTAGAAGGATTTGGGATATTAAATTGTTCTCTGGTATCTGCAGATAGCATTAAATGAGATTACGGCATTTAACATTCATCCAACGCAAAGTAGTTGTTCTCAGATAGCGATTACCAACCTACATTTGACTATGGTATTTTATGGATGTTGTAAGTGTTCTTCCTATCAGTTGCACTTTTGAGCTACTCTTTGAAGAGGATCACGTAGATTTGGTGACTAAAACTTCTAAGACTAGAATGAGGGAGTTAAGGGTTACGAGGGAGACCAAGGGAACAGTATACACAGAATGATGGGTGGGGGTGGGGCACTAATGGTAGACTCTGAAGCTGTTCTAGAAACTTCAAGAGACTGACTGAAACTTTGTTAACTTGTGGGCGTATTTTTCTCACCTTTTATTTTTCAGCCTTGTGTAATTTTAGTGTTTGCTAATGCAGTGCTATGTTGCTTATGACTTAGGTTTGTTGGAAAGTGCTTTTGATGTTGGTATGAATTTCCACTATCTTTTTATATCTATCTCTGTTTTTCTTTTGTGTTTTCTCTGTAAAACCAGTTGTATAGCTTTTCTAAAGTTTTTAGCTTCTATATATATGCATGCGTATACGATGTGAATAAATGTATCTTATCTTAATTGTAATCGCTTTTATCTTTTCCACATCATTGTATTCTCCACATTCCATTGGACCTGTTCATCAACAGATCCTTGTTTATCTAAGACATTTGACCTTTTCCTTCAGATAGTGTTTGTCACGTTTCTTTGTTAATGAGTAATAATTCAGCCACTGATTTGCAGTCAACTTAGTCAGCAGTATTGGCCAACTGCTGAGTTTTAGACCAACTGGTAAGTAGTACCCGATCTAGTATCTTGAATCAAGCTAGTAAAAAACTACTTCTGAGTTATAGCTGATTGATTGGGGTCCAATATTAACAATTGCCCAGTTGCTGAATTACAAATGAGTTAGTTACATAAGAAGCCCAGATGTTGACAAGTTGTCTAGCTGTTGAATTGCGATTCAGGTTGTTCGTACTGGTCTAACTGCTAAGTTGAGAGTAACAGCTCCCCTGTTGACGAACCGTCAACTTCTGACCAATACGCAAGTTACTAAATCGAAACTAGCTACTGAATTATGACCATTTACATGACTAGTTGCCCAAACAAGTAGATGCTCAACGTCTAAATAGTTGCTCAATTGATTAACCCCTTTCTAGATAGTGAATAATATCTCATCTACTAGTTGGTAATTTAGTTGTTGAATTATGAATAAACGTAATGATATTGAAATCAGCTTTTTAATTTGTAAAAAGTAACTCCAGTTTTTATCAGCATACTACGTGACATATTTTCTTTTTAGTTTGTGAAACTTGTAAGTGAACATTAATTATACAAATATTTGTTTCGATCAACATCTACACTAGTTACTAGAATTGTCAGGTAAATCCACATTAAACAATTTGTGGTGAACTTATTAAAACAAAAGTTTCTTTCTCTATTGTCGCCCGGTGGGACAGCGGTAAGTCTACGGACTTACAACGCTAAAATCCAGGGTTCTGGCTTCTCACGGTGGACACAGTAGATAGCCCAATGTATCTTTACTCTAAAAACAGATTTTCTCTATTTTCTTTTGCATTCTTAAACAAACCTAACATTTACTTTCATAATGTTTGTCAATTAACATTTATCTTTACAAAAGTGAAGGGTTTTTATTCGAAATTTCACATGCAAAACATTAGATTAGTTCTACAGTACGTATTTCAAGATCTGTGAAAGATTGAAAGTAAATCACATGAATTGATTTTCATCTCGCTTAAAAAGAAAAGAGGCATTTTAAGCAAATATATATAATTCAATTGATGTTAAATGCAATTCAACAAGTAGTTTTTTTTTTCAGTTCACTCCACTAAACTATTGATCAACGAATATGAGTAACAATAACATTTTCTCGTTTCTAGCCTCTTTGTTGGGATTCGGGTGCGCAGTAGATGCGCAGTGTAGAGTGAAGGTGAAAAACAGTCAATGTGTCAATGGTTTGTGCGAATGTCTACCCAACTTCATTCCGTTTAGACGAGACAAGTGTTTACCAGGTGAGTTTTGGAATTGCCAATAACTCCTTTTCATATATACATGATGGCAAATATATATATAAGTTACTGAGTGCTATTTCAGCACCAGGAGAAGATCAAAGAGAGAATAAATGATTTATTACATCATCTAAAGCTCTGTACAATAAACGCTTGAATCCGGCACAGCTTACGAGAGTCTTTTCAAATTGTACAAATAGCATGCATAGTTTAAGTTGATTAAATCATTAACTGAATCTATTGTTTATACTAAAACAAAGATTTCATATCACATCAGAATAAACTAAACAATGTCATATTATCAGGTTAGATCAGAATGTCACTGTAGTCAACTCTCTATCACGTGGTAATCTAAGCATGTATTCATGACCACTACTTGATTACTTGGGTGGGCCTGGATCTTCCAATTTAGGTGTTCTTAAACTTAGAATAATTATAACAAGAATTTAACGTACAAACAGTTTTCCTTCAGTGACCAAACTGGTGTCCCACTTCTCTCAGAAATATAAATATGGTAGTTTTCTCTAGAATTAGTAAGTAGAAAAATTGCCGATGTACAAGCTTTACCTAACATACCAGAGATTAATCTCCAAAATTCGTTTGTGAAAAAACAACAACAAAAAAACTCCTTATTTTACTGATATATAGAGATGGGCTTGGCTATATTTTCCTTTGACAATCATAAAATAAGGTGACTAATCAAAATTACTTCAGGGTTTATAAAGTAAAGAATATGTCATGCACTTACTAAAAGTGTGAACTTGCCGTGGTATACACGTCGTTGTTGATACTAAAGCATACGCCATTTTGTTTGAAGAAATGCCATTAAATCATTTTTTTACAATGAGTTAAAAATGTCACAGTATATTTGTTCGTTACAAAAGCACATTTAAAGATTCTTAATATTGTTATTATTACAAAAGTCAGGTCTTTCATCGACAGTATCACGATATTTTACGAATTCTGGTAAATTAATGTTTTATGTTATTAAACACAAATGTTTTGGTGTTGATGTGTCTCATAAAAATTACCAATGCTTCACAATGGACAACTTCTTACAAGATATATATATACATATATATTATATAATTGCCATCATTTGTACAAGTCGGACAACACGTCTTTCAACAACTGCAGAAAATATCTATGGGAAAATAGCTTCAACAAGACAGATTACAAAAAGTTTTGCACGTTAGTCACGTTTGTAGATATATTGTTTATATTTATTTAACCTATTTATCAGTATTTTCTTGACACTGTCAAACAAATTTATCCACCAGATCTTACTCTGAGAAAAGCTCCTTCCCTAAAAATAAATCACATCACCTGGATTTAGATATTAGCATCGTCGATCTGATATTTAAATAAAAAAAAATCGATAAAACAGGCACTTTTAATTTTGAAGTCAAAAACTTTCAATTACCAAATACAGGTATTTCAAACAAGTTATGTTACAAAGTTTACCACTCACTTCTCGTTAGATACAGTAGAATTTGTTCAACATTACAAGATTTCATAGACCCTGCTCATAAACTTACTCTCATTTCACACAAACGAGGTGTTTTCTTTTTTTCAACACCAGATTTACTAAATTGTGTAAAAAATTCAGCAAAAGTTTTTACAACGCTTTCGGGATTAATACTTTTACACGTTATCTCTACACCTTAATTTCTTAACTCATTTTTAGGGTAATAACAATGACCCACGTTTAAGTCTTATTATAACCGTGATATTTCTCATATTTTATTATCGCTTATACATTTCAGTTAGTTCTTAGAGATTAACTTTATTTATAACTTCCGGTTAACCCTTACAAAGTGAGAGAGATTAATTACAGTTGGATTAGTTGTTTTGGATACACCTCATAGTATCTATGTTTAGTAAATTATTTTTCGTTCTGTCGCATTTAAATATGTTATTTTAATTACAGCATCAATATTTTAGAATGTTTATTATATATATTTATTGTAATTACTTTTATGTTTTTATTATTACAAAATATTTCTTATAAAAATGTTTACACTACTTTTTAGTGTATGGATTTAGGGAATATCTAAATCTCATAAGGTGGCTGAATCCCAGATGCTATTATTGGAATTACGGCCGAAAATCTCGCTAACAGCGAGGCTACTCAAATGATGAAACAAAATAGTTTAATCATTATAAGTAAGAACATAAAAATAGTATATTAAACTAGCTATATTCATTACTGGTTTTATTGGCAGGAAATGCTAATATAATAGTAAATTGACAAAAAACTGTTTATAAAGAAATAACATTTAATTTAGAGAGCATACTACATGCAGTATGTTTTCTACTTAAAATTTTCATTATGCCTATAAACCGTTGTTGGTCAATCTACTATTACTAAGTTGATTTTCTTAATTGTGATCAATGAGTTGTTTGAAGTTAAGCACAAATCAAACAATGGGCTATCTGTGCTTTGCCCACCACGGGTATCAAAACCCGGTTTCTAGCGTTGTAAGTTCGCAGACATACCGCTGTGCCATTGGGAGGTATGTGATCAATGAAAGTAACTTGCTTTAGTCAGAAGTCAGTACTAAAGAAATGGCTTATAACTGACTGATCACACTGAGTTAAAAAGTTGAAATTATATTTATAAAACCACCACAAATGTATATTAAAGTTTATAAATATTATTGTTATTACAAATCTTAAAGTGTTGGTATAATATCTCTTTTAAGGTGAATTGTTGTACAAGCACCATCTGTTGATAAGTTCTAAGTTTAAATTATAAAAAAAGTAAAAGAGATCACATACCAATCACATTTTTAAAATCCAATCTTTTCATTGATTACTTTAAACTGTTTCGAAATTTAAAAAAATAAAAATTTTCATGCATAAAATCTAAAAGCAAAATATTTGAAAAATCGATTGTTGTAAGTTTGATAATTTTTAAATCATAAATTGTCGTTTATACAAATATTTTAATATTTCATACTCCACAGAAACGTTATTTTAGCTATGTTTTTTAATATAGATGTTTCCAGAAATGTGTATTGTTGTTTAGCCAGAAGGTGTTTAACGTAACATAAGGAGCGTGGCTTTAATGTTTAGAACATTGTTGAAAGTTTAGGAAACAATTTTAGTTATATACGGAAAGGAGTTAGGCTATATTGAGTAAGCGAATTTGCTACTCAGTTCTTGAGTAGTCGGTACGTGGTTCAGTTAGTTTGTCTGTTACTGTCAACCATTTAGTCGGTTTGTTTAATGCTGTGAATATAGATGTTGTGTTTCGATGAAGAACTAGAAATACAAAATTAGAAAGTACGTGGAATTTCTGTCAGACCTAGTTTATTTGTGAAGCCTAAAGCTGGTTACGCTAAACACGGAACTTGAAGAAATAAAACTTTTTTGTTATTGTTAACTGGACCGAGCCTTTCAACGTTCTCTCTCTTTTACCGAATTATCCAAAAAACCTGGTCAACAATAAACACCGTTGCAGCAATATTAACACCATGCAGATATGCACTCTTCTTGATAAGTCATGAGATATGCATTTCCAAATGTCTAAATGTGAGGGTGAGACATAAAATATAATTTCATCCGAAACACAATACTGTAGTGTTCCTGTTGTTGGTGTTTTTCGTAATGCAAGAAATGCCTGTGAAGTTTGCTTAATATGATGTTTTAGTAGAATTTGTTCGTATTCTCACTGCCTTAATTACTATCGATTACTGTTAACTCTGTTATGATTATTTAATTATTGTAACGATTTTGCTTTCTTGCAGTGGCCAAAGTAGGAGATTATTGCCTTAATCATGAACAATGTCGCCTGTCAGACAAGTACACTTACTGTGATTGGATAATCCCTGATATTTATGGAAAATGCCAATGCCCATTGGGATACTTGTTTACAGATGATCAACGATGTTTGCCACGTGAGTACTGTTGTTACGTCGCTTTCTGAACACCAGTGATATGATATATTAGGTCGTCAAGAAATTAACGTCGCGTTTTGGAACACTTTTATTAACCACCCCCAAAAACGTAAATCACGAAAATAGCTAAACGAACCGCCTAAACGTCACGTTAGTGTAGCCTATATAATGTGTAA